GGATATAAATAAAAATTATTATTATTATAATAGGATCAAGGGAGCTGTAGTTCAAAACAACCAGAGAATCTCAGGTTAAAAAAGGTAGGTGTTTATGGTGGTCCTTGGACTAGTGCTGGTTTGTGAACCATCACCTATTGGTCTTTGGAGAATTTACAGGGAAGAAACAATGGTACAAATATGGTACTGGCCCCTGGAATGTTGGAAAAAATAAATTGCCATCCCCCCATCATCAAATAGATGAGGAAGCATTGGTTTATAATACAGTAATATGACTGGGAAACCCCCCAGACCTGGTTAGCACTTGGAAGGAAGACAGCTAGGGAATATACTAGGGAAGACAGCTATTCTTATATTCTGGGGAAGACAACAACAAACCCCTGAACAAAGTTTTGACAAGAACACCTATAACATCACTATACATCAGATAGTTACATTTATTCAATCCAAATACTTTTATATATAGTTTTTAAAACTTTAAACAACTGTATTTAACTCATTATATAATATTGTTCAAAACATTTTTGACTTCTCTAAATTATGCTTTAACCTATTTTAATGCTATCTGTAAGCCACCCTGAGATCTCTTGATATAGGGTGGTGTATAAATATTAAATAAATAAATAAATAAATAAAATGTTGTATGGCATATGGTGGAAAGAAGAGTTATAAATGTAACTAATAATACATGGCTCTCCACCTTTTATTCACAAGAGGCCAGGCTGAGACTAAGGTTGCAGACTGCCAGAAATAGTGTGAATTCAGTCCACTTTTAGGGTTAGGGTTAGAGTTAGGGAACCATGGGAACTGTATTTTATTGTGGCACCAGAGTTGTCTGACAGAGAAGGCTCAATGTCTCAGGAAAATAACAGTTCCCATGATTCCCTAGCACTAACCCTAACCCTAAAAGTGGACTGAATTCACACTATTTCTGGCAGTCTGCAACCCCCCTAACTGAAGGCCACTCAGTTAGGTTTGTGACTTAGAGCCTTTACAGACTGCAGAAATAGTGCAAATTGAGTCCACTTTAACTGTCCTGGCTCACTGCTAGGGAATCATGGGAACTGTATATTTTCTGAGACACTGAGCCTACTCTGTCAGAGAGCTCTGGTGCCACAATAAACTACAGTTCCCATGATTCCTTAGCCCTGAGCCAGGACAGTTAAAGTGGCCTCAATTTGCACTGTTTCTGGCAGTCTGTAAAAGCCCTTAGTAGGGATTTGGAACTGGATCTCTGTCTTCTATTCCAATGCAAGTGCAACACTCATACATGCCATAGACTCACTGGAAAAGAAAATGATTGGTAAGATAGAAGACAATAGGAATAGAGGAAGATGGGACATACTAAAACAATTGACAGTACTTGCCGGTAGAGAATAATTGAAGAATACATGTCGATAAGGAAACATAGGGGAATACTTGCCCATAGGGAAACATTGATTACTTGCCCAATGTTTTCCTATGGGCATTATGGTTTCCCTATGGGCAAGTAGTCATTTGTTTTAGTAAATCCAGAGAAAGACCTCAATACAGGTGGACAGAGTTGGATAAGACTCAGAGGGCCAGCATGGTCTAGTCTAGTGGTTTGAATTTTGGACTATGACTCTGGAGAACAGGGTTCAAATCCCCTCTTTACTATGATGCAAACCCACTGAGTGACTCTGGGGAAGACATAGTCTCTCAGCTTCAGAGGAAGGCAAGATTAAACCCCCTTTGAACAACTTCTGCCAAGAAAACCCCCTGATAGGTTCTCCATAACTCAGAGCCCCCATAACTTTGGCTGCATATGGAGTACACAGAATAAATAATCCACCACTTTAATTGCCATGGCCCCATCCTACAGAATCAGGGATTTGTAGTTCGGTGAGATGCCAGCACTCTTTGCAGAGTAGGCTAAAAACCTCGTAAAAACTACAAATAAAAGTAACTGTTGCAGATATATACTGTGTTGATACTGTTACTTATGTTATAATTGACTATAATTACATTGTTGCTTTATAGCTACCAACAGGGTGATGATATTTTGCTATAAAAGTAATTGTTGCTCCAATACAGTGATTCCCCAAACTTTGGTCCTCCAGATGTTTTGTATTTCAGCCCCCAGAATCCCAAGCTGGCAGGGGCTTCTGGGAGCTGTAGTCCAAAACACCTGGAGGATTAAGGTTTGGGAGCCACTGCTCCAATAGAAGCCTACCTGATGGGTCTTTACATAGCAATCTATTCCTCTTTCCCATGAATTACAAGGTGCCACCTGTTTTCAGCCCTGGGCGTGCCTCATTGGCTGAGGCTCCTGCCAATCACCAGAAAATGCCTGAACGACCCCGCCCCCTTTTCAGTGGGTGGCCGGCCTTATTGTGACGTCACCCTTAGCAACCACCTGGGCGTCCTAGCAACGGCCCCTCCCCTTCCCATTCATACTTTTCCTTCAACCAGGGCTCTTCTCTCTCTCTCTCTCTCTC